TTGTCTCGCATTTGCCCCAGCACCTTCCCGGGCATTGTCACCTGTCACCGAGAAGGCTGGGACGCAAATACAGTCTTGCAATCAAAACGTGACAAGTTCGTTATAACAAGAAACTCATAAATCTCAAAGCAAAGGAACTATCATTAAATTTTTTAAATAATAATTATATATAGCTTGTATATGGTGCGTTTACTTGGAACAAAGACAGGTATTATTTCTTCTCTCTGCCACTCATAATAGTGAAATTAATTATACTATAATACCACCTCCCATCCCACTCTAAAGGGGCCAAAAGTTAACAGATGGTTGTAAAATACTTTAGAAACATGAAACACAACGTAAGAGTCTAATGCCCATAGTTCTTCTGTGTAGCTCAGCAGCTGGACTGAGCTTAGGTGGGGAGAAGTAAGCTTTAGAAAAGGGCAAGTGGCCCAGAACTGGATGGCTGGGTTGGGAGTGAGAAACCGGGTGTCATAACCAGGTTCCTTTAGACATTAAAATTGGCCACCCTAGTAGACCTCTCCCACAGCTTCAGGGAGCATGCACCCCATGAGTTAAGTGAGAAGCCCCTTCGGCATAGGTTGTAAAATATGTGCAGCCCCTGGCACATGAACAATCTCTTTAAGTACTTTACCAGAAGCCCGGATAGATCAGCACCTTTTAAAGCTGGGTGACTTCCATTCCTCATTGGTAGAAATCATCTTTCCCCAGGACTATTACTTGCCAGAGAGCAGGAAGTGTCTAATGGGTATAGAGAGATCATAAGCAAAGAGCCTTGTACCCCAGTCTGCTGCTCCCTGGGAGAGCCTGAAGCACTGTCAGGAAGCCCTCCCTGGGGCTGGGCAGTGCCTTTTCCTTTGAAAACAATAGAGTCCCATAAATTCTGCAAGATCCTTTGGAGCCCACTGGTCTTCTCCAGGCGAACAGAACAAGCCTAAAGGGCTGGAGGTCCGGCCAAGTGGCAGAGCATTTGCCTAGAATGCACTGGGTTCAGTGACCCCCCCTCCCCCAGCACTCATCCATATGTGATTGAACAGGAAGAATCCCAATATGAGCTAAGCATGAGTCTGAGAGTCTTACAGTCTAACAGGAGAATATTAACACGTTCCAGTTTCAAGAAAAGCCGCAAAGTCAAGCTCTAGTAAAGAGCTTCCTCTTTCATCGTCAAGAGGAATCTCTGAACAAATGGCCAAAGCTGGTAGACAGACCACTCCAGATTTAACACCTGCTTTCCATACTAATGAAAACTTATTCATTCCTTTCTAAATAAAATGTTTCTGAGTATCCTTGCAATAGACAATACGCTCTGACCCTCACTTGCCCGTTCCTACTCTGCTCTACAGAACGTTGGGGGTGCGGAGATGGCGGCAAGAGAGACTGGTACAAGCAGAGGTAAGGGAAGAAAAATGAGCTGTCACTTGAAGCTGCACACCAAGAGGGACTTTTCACAGCATGTGATGGCTCCCCTGAGACCCAAACACTTACTATGTGTAAGATAGAGACAAACAAGTAGACAGAGACTCTGTCCCCAGGGCTGGGGGCAAGAGGAAGCACAACCATTTGGAGGGAAAAGGTTCGTACAAGCAGAGATGGGGAAGAGTTAAGCTAGAGAAACAAGCAGAAGGCAGGTTATAAAGGGTGGGTTTTCTGAGTGATCCAGGGATAAATGGGGAGCCATTGGAAGGTGTTAGGAAGGTCATAAATGATTGCATTGTGGGGAAAGTAACAAAGAAGAAAAAAGGGAGGGGCTGGAAATACAGCTCAGTGAGGAAGAGCACTGGCTGCCCTTGCAGGGCCCCAGGTTCCGTTCCTAAAACTTACACGGTGACTCATAACTGTCTAACTCCGGTTCCTGAGGATCTGATCATTCCTCTGGCCTCTGTTGTCACCAGCACACACTTGCACGTAAGCAAGTAAATATTCTAGGCAAGAGGAAACAGTGGCTGTGATGGAAACGGAGAAATATTAGCAAACTTAAAACCTCTTAAGCCATTAGAAGAGACCAGACCTCAGTAGAATAATCAGTGAGTGTCCACACCTGAGTTCCAGTCCTAGTTCTGACACCCAGATAAATAACTCCATGTCCCTTTCTGAACCTTAGCTGTTCCCACAGGACAGAAAAAAAAAAAAAAAACCCTCAGTTCGTGCTGGTGAAATTATTGAGAAAGTTAGTAACTTCAAAAAATACTTAGAACGGTTTATGACATATGATGAATATTTAAAAATATCGTCTACTATCGAGTATAATGTTCAAATCCAGAACCAACATAATGAGCTTTAGAGTGCATTGTGGGAGCTGATGGGAGGGGCTAGCCAGGGATGTCACGGGAGAGTCTGGCGTAGATAACTGGATCAGTGGTAGTAAATGTCTAAGTTACTGATGGTGTCTCAGCTCCAAACCATCTTTCAGCACGTGACGTAAGGCCGTGGAGCCGACCCAGTAAGGAGTAAGCATCTCTCTCCTGAAGGAGGCACACTGTGCTAGAAAGGACTCTGGCTTCACGGTCACTTGCTTCTTTGTTCTCTCGTACATGGCTGCCTTTGGTGCCTGTGAGGGACACCATGGTGGAGTGTCACACAGAGCCCAGGTTTCACCTGGACTGAGACTGTCTCAGGCCTGTGGCATGGACCAGCACTGACCTGGAGCCAGTGGCAAATTTCTCTGTCATCCATAGCTTCTCCAGTATGACCTGGATCCTGGGCCGTTTGCTTTCTCCCTAGATAGTCTGTTTCGCCTCTAGTGTATGCCCTTTCCCCTTTAAAATTAAACATCTGGGGTGGGCGAATGGGTCAGTGGGTGAAGGAGTGGGGTCCCCAGGACCTAGACGGGAAGAGCAAAAAACTGACAGCAGCCGAGGTGTCCTCTGACACATGAGCCACGGCATGAGCGCACACACACAAAATTGTTTTAATCTTTAAATAGAACTTAAAAGCAAAGCATGCACGTGAATAGCACAAGCCAGCAGGAAACGAATGCACCTTGTGTGTCTGGATAGTTCACTGAGAAGTCCCAGACTTCTAAATCCATATGCAGGCTTGCAGCAGCATATTTCACGGAGGCCGACGGCGGTCTCCTGCTGTGTATGTCCTACAGTGTGGTCCTCTATTTGTTAAACTTCCCATTGCTAAGCCAAAAACAAGGTGGTGGAAAACAGCCAACTTCCATTTTAATAGGATTATTCTAATTGTATTCCAAACATGGAGACCTGACCTGGTGGAGTGGAAGGTAGTTAGTCATAGGGGCCCCTCTAGATGTCAACTAGAATAACCTCAACTGATGGAGCAATACCCTCAACACCACTAAAATTGATGGCCTGCTCAGAAGTGCCACACTCTTTGAAAAGGACTAGACACAAACCAAATTTTAGAGACGCGGGGTGGTGCCGTCCACTTTTTCCAGGGTGTGAACTTGGTCAAAAAAAAATAAAAAACAAAAATAAATCTGTCCCTTGCTTCATCCATTTCTCAAAAGTTTGGATCTCCTGACCACAAAAAGGGAAGTTCCATCAGCAGTTTACAAAAGAACAATTTGGAAGAGAAGTATATTAAATCCTAAGGGAAATTAAACTCAAATAATCCAATAACAGCATTACAAAATTAACACAAGACTATGAATTGAATTAATTGCCTCCTAGTGTGGGGACTCTTGGCTACCACAGACCAAAACAAATGAAGCCGGCAAAGTCAACTGCCTCGGGAGGTCACAGGAGAGTGTGGTATTAAGGCCAGTTTACCTCCTGATGCTTTCCAACTTCCTGGCTTGCTGTTATCCCTCAAGACAGAGAAAGGTCTTCACTTCTTCCGTCCCCTGGCCTCAAGTTATGTACAGAGGTTAGAGGAAGAGGGGGGGGAGGGAGAGAGAGAGAGAGAGAGAGAGAGAGAGAGAGAGAGAGAGAGAGAGAGAGAGAGAGAGAGAGAGAGCGCAAAGTGTCTCTGTCTGGAAGTGGACAGATCTCCACGTGAGGTCTAGTTCTCTCAGAAGGACAGAAGGGCTGACAAGACCCGTACTGGCCTCTCTGGAGCAGCGGGTCTTGTGATAAGGCAAGTCTTTCAGAATACCAGTCAGCTATTCCAAAAGGGACTCTCTGTGGCATTTCAGCAAATACACATTTATTTCTATAAATGCTCTCTTAATGCCGGGATGTCAGTATGCCTGCGGCAAAGTGAGATTACCTAAATAATATGGGCCCTGGGAGCAACAAACAGGGCACGTGTGTGACTATCTCATCCCCTTGCTAGATGCTTTACCTTACGGACTGTGAGCAGGAAGGTAGGATGTGGAGTCTTTACAGAAATAAAATCCTGGTGATTTATACACAATTGCCAAATTAGACCCTTAGGGCTGTTGTAAGGGCAAATCCCAAAGTGGCCGAACCGCCTCCCGGAACGCCTACTGAACATTTTCTCTGCTGCTCATCCTCCTGACAGCTGACATTTACTCTTGAAACTTTGTGATAACGGAACAACATTTAACAAAAATAATTAATTCATGGCATTTTATTGGGGTACTATGTGGCTTACAACTTTTTTCACATTCTTAATTTTATCTGACATTTTGAAAACATTACACCTAACTCTTTTGTCCAAATGCTTTCAAAGCACAGCCAGCGTGTATGGAATCCTTTCTCTTTTCCTTTTAAAGCATTGCTCAAAAACTAACAAAAGCATCAAAAACAAAAGATTTCTTGTTTAAGCTCAGAGAAATAAAACATCCTGTTTTTTGGGAATCCTAATGACTGTTGTCCCAATCTTTCCTAATTAGGAGGGCCTTCATAATGAGGAAAATTCTTTTCAAAGTCAATGGATCTGCAAACACAAACACTGCTGTCCCCCTAGAATGAATTGGACACATTCCTTACATGCATATTTCAGTTACACACTCTAATTAATATTACTACTTGCAATGTGTGGAATTCATCTGTTGCAGTATAAAAACACCGTGAGTTCCCGTCTCACAGGCTCATAGGCACCAGGCTGAACATACTAACTCAATTGTGGATTTAGAGAAAATGGAAATTATTTCATCAAAACGATTCATTTTGTTGACTTTAGCCACTTTAAGCTTACTAACACCAAACATCTTCTGTACAGATGAATTAATGATGCCCCATTTTCACAGCCAAGAAAAGGATGACAGATATCTCCAGGTAAGTCTTAAAATCTACCTAATACAATGAACATTATAAGCATCCACACTAATATAACTGACATTCTATACGTACACACTAATATAACTGACATTCTGTGTGTACATACTAACGTAACTGACATTCTGTGTGTACATACTAACGTAACTGACATTCTATACATACACACTAATATAACTGACATTCTATACGTACACACTAATATAAACTATGTACATGCACACCCTATTTCTCCTGAATCTAAAATAAGTTTGTGATTTGTTTTATTTTTGATTTTGGCTTTCCGTCACACTTCAGCTTTTCTGTGACAATATATGATGCCACTTTAATAGCAATCAACCTGACCTCTCCAATGACACTTCCTGTACCCAGCACGGGATACTTAGCAAGGAAAAGGTGAATTGATCCATATCAGTTGACTCAAAGATGCATGCTTGTAGCAGAGAGCTTTAGAAATAAGATCTGGATGCATTTCCGCTGGAAGCTTGCATGACAAGCCCAGCACTTGTGTTCTCTCCTTAGCAATTAGAAGCTGGTAAGTCCGTGGTATCTTTAAATCTAGTTAAGCTGTCCATCCCTACATCAGGGAACTATAAGTTATATTTATTCTGGGTGTTTATATGTTCTGCAAAGTTTCTGGTTAGTATTATCACTCAGATTATAAGCAGAAAGTAATTATTACATTTTTAAATGTGGTTCAATGTTCAAGGTCGAACCAAGTCTAACTAAATATTCACTGCGCTTTATATGAGCCCAATGAGTAGGTTTCCTGGACGTAGTAACTCACGCACAAAGTCGGGCTTGTCACTAAAAATGTAAATTGTGGTCTAATTAAAATGTCACTGGTTTTTTTGAAACATGGTTTTAGAGTGGAACTTGGAATATGACAGAGTAGAGAGAGAAACTCAATGGGACTGCCTAGAGCCATGCCCTGGCCAGGCTAGAAACAATTCTGTGTGTCATTTGACCTTTAAAGAGAGAGGCAAAACACACAGCATGTAAAGGGAATAGTGTTCTCCAAAGTCGTAATATAAACGTATAAAATATTCCATAAACAATATGAATCAAAAACCTGAAAGAAAATAACTGCAATAAAATCAATGTTCGCCTCATTTCAATACTTCATTATATTCCTGCTGCTTGAACATACTGCTGCTCTCACTATGTATATTTTTATTAATATTTTATAGTTGTCTTACAATAGTCAAGGGACAGAGAAACTAGATTGCTTTAAGAAGCGTAATACAAATTATTTATTTAAAAATTCTGCATATAGAAACACAAACTTTGTTTATAGCTACAGCAACTACAGCAAGTCTACAGATTAAAGTCTGGATTTAAGTTAATTTAGGATTTAATCTATGGCTTGTAATAATAATAAGTTATTTTAATTGCTGTTTCTAATTATAGCCTAGAGGAATCCCAAAAGGGGAAAAGGAAAGAAGTGTCAGTTTTCAAGAACTAAAAGATTTGGGGGCAAAGAATGTTATTAAGATGAATCCAGCCCCTGCCAACAAAGTGCCCCACTCGGCAGCCAACCTGCCCCTGAGATTTGGGAGGACCGCGGAAGAGGGGAGAAGCCCCAGGGCTTGGGCCAACGTGGAGGCAGGGATCTTGAACCACGTTCCCAGCCTGCCCCAAAGGTTTGGGAGAACAACAGCCCGAAGCATCCCCAAGACACTGAGTCGCTGGCTACAGAGATCCCTGCATCCACTGGCTGCCAGTGAGCTGCTCCACGCCATGACTTGCCAGCATCAAGAAATCCAGAGTCCTGGTAGGAAGCAACCGAGGTAAGTGTTGGAACGCCGGCCAGCTCCACGGTCAGAGAACCGGCAATGTGTACCCCGTACTGTCGCAGCAGAGTGCTAAAAAAGCCAGCTTCTCAGAGGGACAAAGACAACACCCAAGTAAGCAAACACCTGTACATCCTGAACTCTTCAAGGACAGGTGTAGGAAGACCGGTCACATGCTGCCATCAGGCTGGCAACTCTGTAAACCACACACTAAGTGCGTGCAACGTCAGGATTGCAGATTTAAGCTCTGACATGTTGTTCAATGTTCCAGCTCACACCATCATCAGAGGGCAAGTGCAGGGATTCCCCCTCCCCCTCCCCCAACTACATCGGGATGGTGTGGGAGATGGAATGTGGGCCTTACAGATGCCAGGCAGGTGCTCTGCCACGGAGCTACCGCCATGCTGGCCAGGCAGGTGCTCTGCATCTCGTTTTAAAAATGAATCCTCCTACAACCATTCTTTTTTTTTTCTTTTTTTTTAAGATTTATTTATTATTCCTTCCATGTATGTTTACATGCCAGAAGAGGGCAGCAGATCTCATTATAGATGGCTGTGAGCCACCATGTGGTTGCTGGGAATTGAACTCAGGACCTCTGGAAGAGCAGCTAGTGCTCTTAACCTCTGAGCCACCTCTCCAGCCCCCTACAACCATTCTTGTACTAATTAACAAATATTTGCTATCTACTATGTATAAACCAGAGTGTCAGTTACTATATAAGATTAGAAAATGTTATTTCTAATAGTGACTATATATATTTTTTTTTAAAAAAAAAGTCTTTTGATATGAAGTACAAGTCAAGACTTTTGTTAAGGGCTGAAGGAGGTGGAGCTGCAGACTCTGTCTGAGGGGCTGTTTCAGAGTACACCTCATCTACTGTTCCCAAGAAACTTACTGCCTTCTGACTTAGATGTTTAGGATCAGTTACTTTGGATAGACTTTCATTTCTATAAATCCTATCATTTTGTCTGCTGCCATATTCCTAAGGCCTAGACCTGTGACTGCCCCTAGTAAGCCCTGGTACTGAAGAGAGTAAATGACTGTTTTAAGGGCGGCATTACGGAGGTGCATCCATGAGAGAGAACCCCATGCCTCTGAATGTGCAGACTGTGGGGAGGAGAGGGGTCATTTCCAAACTAAAGGCTGAGCGTAAGTGAACGCCTTGAAGCAAGGCGAGCCAGAGAGAGCCAGAATCCCTTTTGCAGGACCAAAAGCAAGGAAAGAGGTTGGGGCAAGGGCAGAGGGTAGAGGGTGAACAAAACGCAGACAAATGGGGCTCAGACATGGGTTGGGGCCTCAGTCATTGGGAGATGGAGGATTGCTGCCATTTTTGCTGAAGCCCTGGATTATAATACGAGATAGACTTGGACAGCCAAGTCAATGATAAGTGCCCATCACAAATTCAAAATCCACCAGGATCTCATTCATTTCAATTGCAACCCACTACAGCTAAAGCATAACTAAGTAATCCTAAGATGTTTTTCTCCTTTGAAATGTCATCTCACTCTGTAGATCTGACTGGTCTGGAACTGGCTATAGACCACACTGGGCTCACGCTCACAAAGATCCTCCTGCCTCTGTTTCCCAACTGCTGAGACTAGGGTACCTGCACACCCAGGACAGGCCGTATCTTTATATACTTTGCTTGCTAGTGCTCTGATAGATGAGAACACTCTCTCCTGTTGTATTTAAGGAGACAAGCATTCACGGAAACAGAAGATGCAGAAGGGAAACATGAAAAATAGGAAGCCTGGATCCCATCCTTGAAGATGCTATGAAGCTGTGACCTGTAGCCTAGGCAGCTCTGTGGTGTTGACAAGGAAGAGCACCAGTTTTTCCTGTCAGTACAGGTTATGCTGATGGTTATTAACTAAGTCAAAAATATTTGTAATGTAAAGTTGAAGTAACTTTTATCAGAATAAAACAATATTGCAAATAAAGATGCCTCTGTCTAATGAGAGAGGGGAAGGAAGAAGGGAAAGAGGGAGGGAAGGAGGGATGGAGGGAGGAGAAGGAAGGAAGGAAGGAGGAAGAGAAGGAGGGGGAGACAAGGGGGGAGGGAAGGAAGTAGAAAGGGAGGGAGGAAGGGAGGAAGAAAAGGAGAGAAGAGAGAGGGAGGGAAGGAGGGTTGAAGGAGAAGGAAAAGAAGAGAGTGAGGAAGGAAGGGAGGAGAAGAGAAGGGAGGAAGGGAGGGAGGAGAGAGAGGAAGGGAGGGAGGGAACCACTGAGGGAGGGAGAAGAAGAGAATGAGAGAGAAACTGACCTACATGATCACACATTATAAAATCATGAGCATGTCCCTTCCTCCCCATGCCCCGATCCAGCATTGAGCACTTCCTGCCTCTGTCTCACTAGGTCTGTAGAAGCCTGATGAGCCCAACGATTACTCTCCAAGACCCACCTCCACCTCCAGCTCAGCCATCCAGCTGCTGAGATTACGGGTGTGGAGCTGCGGGAGGGGGGGGGCTCTTTTCTATATTCATTTGAAGGAAAACTTCCCAAGAGTGCAGAGACACAATCAGCCTTGGCTCCCTGCCAGCTCCTGTTCTCCCCTGAACCTATGAGGCCTGGCTAGGACACCCCTGGGCAGAGCCCCTGCCCAGCTCCTTGGGTCTGTTTCTGCAGTCCATACCCTCAGGTCTGCAGAGCCCCATCAGACAGTCCGGTGCCCTCAGAGGTCAAGCCTGGGCTGCATTGCCAGCAATACAGATGAGAGGAGGTTGCATCTCCCCTCGCTGTTCTCACACATGGAGAAAATCCTACTCGAAAAAGGAAAAATATGTCCTGTACAAACACATACCTCTGTACGACATGGGGATTCTTCCTGCATGCTGCAAGGGAACTTCCTAATTAGACAAACACACAAAAATCATGTGCACAGTTACACTTGTTAAAAAATTAAATAGAAGGATCACCTGACAGATAACATGGGAAAATTGATGATTGACAAGGAAGTGGACCAAGTAACAAATCACTTGTGAACATGTTTTAGAATGATTTCTCCGTGTCACTGTTAGGGAGTCTGTGACAGACTGGAATTTAAAGCCAGACAGCTAGCTCTCTGTGTAATTTTATAGGACAGAGGAACCCTGAGATCATAGCTGGATAAAAGGGAGACCATGATAGGGGACGTGTTCAATGTCCTTGTATCTATATCCAGAAACTCACCTCTAATGCATCCCTTAGCACTTCATTTAAAAATGTAAGCCTCTGATTTAATGGGAAACTACCCCAGTGGCGGTGTGTAGGAGGCAACATGGTAACCTGGGAAACAGTCTGTCCCGTTCTCCGGAGTGTTCGGGTGGACAGAGAGTGAAAGGAATCCAGGGTGCCAGATGCTCATCCAGCTGTGTGAGGTTGCAGCTTCTCCAGTGAATTATTCAGGAAGCAGCACCAGGCTTCCACACTGCTTCAATCGCTGACCTGGGGGCCTAGCTGTCACTCACTTTCTTCCTACGGCTTCTCATTTGTTCTCCTGTACCCTCCTGTTGCCAGAAAGAAAGGCCTGAGCAACTTTCCAGTAAAAATGTGTGCATACACCGGTCACAGTAGAACAGGAAAGGTTTCTATGGCGCTTCCATGTCCCAGGGAATTGCCCGGAAGTCTTACAATGCCCCGCCCCCCACACACACACAGACGCAGACATAGACCCCACGAGCAACACTGAGGCTTGAGAGACTCAAGGCTGCGGTTCTCCTTCCTGCTCTACAGCACCATGTGGACTCTGAGAGCCAGGATGATCCGAAGGCAGAGGCAGGCAGATCTCTGTGAGTTTGAGGCTAGTCTGATCTGCAAAAGCTAGTTCCAAGACAGAATCCAAAGCTACTGAAAAAAAGAAAGAAGAAAAAAGAAAGAAAGAAAGAAAGAAAGAAAGAAAGGAAGGAAGGAAGGAAGGAAGGAAGGAAGAAAGAAAGAAAGAAAGAAAGAAAGAAAGAAAGAAGAAAAGAAAGAAAGAAGAAAAAAAGAACAAAAAAAAAGTCAGTCTGTAGCAAGCTTTCTTGTCGAACTATCTTTGGGTAGCCAATCCACAAATAATGACCTAGAGACTTATTATTAATTAATGAAAGCTTGGCCTTTAGCTTAGGTCTGTCTCAACTAGCTCTTATAACTTAAATTAACCCATATTTTTAATCCATGTTCTGCCACGTGTCATTACCTCTCTTTCATCTTGCACTTCCTGTCTCCTCTCCATGTCTGCTTTGACACTCCAGCTTTCTTCCCAGAGTCCTCTCTGTCCCCCAAAGTCCTGCCTAACATTTTCTAGCTACTGGCCATTCAGCTTTTATTACAACAATCACAGCCATACGTTTTCACACAGTGTACAAATATCCCACAATATTTGTCTGCTATTATCGTTATTTTTTATTTTATATGGGTGTTTTGCCTACATGCATGTCTGTGTACAACATGCATGCCTGACATTGACAGAGGCCAGAAGAGGACATCAGATGCCCTGGAAGTGGAGTTACTGTTTTGAGCCACCATGTAGGTGCTGGGAATCAAACCTGGGTGCTTTGAAGAGTAGCAAGTGCTCTTAACCACTCTTCAGCCCTCTTTGGCCTTTCTAAGTAAAACATACACCACGCTTAATTAACTTGATTTATTTCCACCTTATAAAAAACAATAACATCTCATTTTACTCTACAAATATACTCAACCATAATTTTTCTATGCGTCTTTCCAGGCTGCCCTAGGCAGAGTCCTGGAGCCTGGATTCCCACTCCACACACACCATTTCTCCTCCGGGGACCCCTGAGTAGGAAGGGCTTAAGTCACTTTCCCCCAGAAGCCTGCAGCTTGCCACAGCTTGCCAGGCCCAGCTCACCCTCCCGACTTAAGCAGGATTTCAAGGTGACTCTTACCTGCTCCCCAGGCCTTTATTTTTGGTGTCTTTGTATCTCTAAACCACACGAAACACATTTTCTCACCAAAGGGAAGAAAAGGCTCAGGTAGGGGGAATTGATAGCAAACTAGGTAGGGACTTCCCTTGGGGGAAAAAAAAACAAAACTTTCACCAAACCTAAGTGTTCTCCTTTTCATCTCTGCACGAGGGAGGGATCTAGACTCAGTGTAACTAACTTCCAACCGCGTCTTACAGTTAGTTATCTGCGCTGAGAATTTTACAGCTATTGGATGTTGATGTTTCAGCGAAGGCTTCACCTTTGCCCTCCTGCAGTGCAGAGGGACTCTCCTAGGAAGGAGCCCTGACAGTTGCTAGGAGGGTACTTGATCTGATGCCTTAGCAGGGCCCAGATTTTCCTAGAGAGTGCAGAGTTCTTGGAAACTTCATAGAGATCTTTTTATTTTAAGTATGAGCATTTTGGTTGTATTATGTGTGCCATGCGCATCCCTGGTACCCATGGAGATCAGAAGAAGCCAGACCATCTGCAAGAACAAGCGCTCATAACCACTGCACCTTCTCTCCAGCCCTATCAGGAGAGATTTTGATCCCAAAAAGAATCATGGCAACAGATTCTTCTTCTAGCGTAGAGGGCTTCATGGAAAGCTGGGCCTGGGCCCATCTGATACAGCGATGATCTTTACGGAAGTGATTTTTCTGCGTGGCCTCAGCACCACATTTCATACATCATACTATGACAATGACCTCAGAAAATAGAAAAAAAATGAAAAAGTGTCCTGATTCTGGGCAATTTCTCATGAGAAAAATGAAAGACCGGTGCTCACTTAACCGTGACCAAGGAAATGGAATAGGCCAGAAAGTGAACATCCTGGCCCCTATGTCCTGTGTGCTTTTTTTTTTAATCTTCTAAAAGATGTGCTTGGGACATCACATGGTCCCCTCCTTTGGAAGTTATCACAGGAAGTTACCACACTGCATAGTGGGAGAACCAAGCTGCAAGCTAGCTTTTGAAAACCTTGGCTTCTGTCCCTGTGTCTGTGTAAATTCCTTCATCAGGGAAGCCTGTTTCCTATCAACCAAAATCCCTGGAGACAGGTCAAATTTGGATACAGGATCATGCAACAGAAACCCTAAATAATACTGTTCTAACCAAGAAAAACTTCTTTCTTCTCACACAAAAATGTATGGAAAAAAAAAGTCCTGAGCTGGTGCTATTAATCCCACTGGTAGACAATAAGACCACTATCATGATTAAAAGCCAAATTTGTAGCAAGCTTTAATTAGATACTGGCCAGGTGGATGGCCAGGATGCAAATCAAGTTTTACAGCAGCTTAACTATTTCCCATCAGGCTGGATCAGGGGCAAGCATACACCCTGGCGTATTTCCTGCCTGTGAACCTCCCGCCCACATGTGATCAAGTACATCCGGAGCAGATGGGTCAAACAAACTTGTTTAGTGGAGTGAAAAACACCTGACTTGTTACCTCCTGTAATAGCCTCCAGCATTTCAGGAACCATCTGTCCTTAGGCCATTGGACGGCTGTAGCTCTAAGTTCAGGAGGATTCCTTTAGGAAAGATTACCCAGCAAGCACCTTCCCTCTTCCTTATTCCCAGTCCACACCAACTTCCCGTTTATTAGCTGATGCAGCACCTGGACTGCTTATCAGATGGTGCATGTTTCGTTCACTGTTGTGTTCTTTAAACTGAGGGAGTTTCTGGGGGCTGGAAAGATGGCTCGGAGATTTAAAGCACAAGGCTGCTCTTCCAGAGGTCCTGAGTTCAATTCCCAGCAAACACATGGTGGCTCACAACCATCCATAATGAGATCTGGTGCCCTCTTCTGGCCTGCAGGCACACGTGCAGGCAGAGTATACAAAGTTAATTAATTAGTTAATTAATTGGGAAGATTTTGCTTAACTTTTGAAATAAATTTTTATTGTGAAAAATATCCATATAACATAACATTTAGCATCTTA